GGATTCCAGAAGGAGAAGCAACTTTCACAGGGCACCCAAGCAAAACTGTCACTAGTTACACCCCCCCCCTTCCCAGAAAACAGTAGATAAAATAATTAGTTGTAGAAATGGAGTGAAAAATTTAATCTGGACATCATTATTTGGCAGAATATCCTTAGCATTATGGGTCAGATTTTTAAGTCAGACCCTCCTTTATTCATTTGTTTCTAGTAACTCGAAAATATCTTTCTGTTCATTGTATTACATTTGGAAAACATTCATGTTCAAGCTATATGGTTTTTTTTAACGTTATTTTATACCATCAGCTAGGTGACTGCGCAGCTCTGGGAATTATTTAATTGCTACAGCAGGCCCATAAAAAAGGAGTGTGTGTGTGGGAAGGGGAGAAGGGGGTGTTCCTGTTTAAGTTGTAGGTTTAAATTTAATAATGGAATTTTTTAAGCCCCAATAAATGAATATTTCTCTCTGGTGTTTATAGAATACATAATGCATTATAGAAGACATTGCACTCTCTTTATCCAAAAGAGGGCTTGCTTTTCTGCAGGTTTTTAAATTCATTTTTAATTCGTTAGCCCATGGTTATTTCACTTATCCTGGAATTTAAGGAGGTGTTTTTCCTGCTCAGTTTTTAGGGAAAAAAATGCATTCTTTTTCAAATTTAAATAGTATATTTATGCAGATGTGGCTGACCCTTGTGTCGAACAACCATGTTGCAGAGTTTTCAGTCTGATCAGTTCCTTGCAAGGCTTCTGGTTAAGGAGGTCGCACAATTTTGTGAAACCGAATCTGAACGTAGGCCAAGGTTGTCTCAGACTGTCCAGCCCACGCCTTCCCCCTGACAATTTCATTTGGTGAAGCAGTATTGATTCCATCTTCAAACAGTCTGTGTTGGCCTCCAGATGTGTTATTGGATGCATCTTCGCTCTGTAACTAGGAAATCATTTATGTACAATAGCTAGGCTTAACCATTGCTTGGCAGAAAACAATTTCTTGTTGCCGATAAAAGCCCGTGTGTTTTTTCCCAGACTTAATTTTTGTACTTACTCTCACTTGTAACGTGGATAAAATTTATCTCGTGCTTTGAAATGCTCTGATCAAAGGAGCTAGAGAAGAGCCAGGTTCCACAGGCTTTTTGGGAGGTTTTTTTTTTTTTTATGTATTGTGGCTAAATTTTGGTCTAAATGAGATGCGCCTTTTAGTTATTTTCTGTCCATGAATTATCACCCGCAAACTCCTCACAACCTAAAGCACATTTAAAAAATCTAGGCTGTGAAAAATCCAAACAAATTTAATTGGGGAAAGCATCGTATTTGTTTGTTTAAAACCAGCCTTATGTTTTTCACAGGCTTCCTGAATCACAGGAAGTTTTTGCTCATGTTTTGTGTCAGCATTTACCTTTTAGAGAGAGGAGACTTGTTCGTTTACAGCTCTGCTCTTGAAGGAGCCTACAAAATACATGTTAGAGGTCTAGTTCTGACTGCAGGTGGGTGCACGTGGCACTTCCTCCTCCTGAGCTGGTCGTCTCCAGAAAAGACATCGTCTCGAAACCCAGGAGATTTCTGTTCGAGTATTTGTAGCAGCAAGATCCTGGGCTCATGTCCTGTGTACTTCCTGCTTACACGCAGGCAGCACACAGGCAGGAGGGAGGGGACATGAAACTTGCATGTCATCAGACGATCCAAAGCACATCTGCTTTCCAAGCAGCAGCAGTGTCCCCTGGTGCAGCAGGTTTCCTGAAGGTGCTGACGGCAGGGGAAGGCGGAGGCAGCGTTCAGCGCTATCTGGGTGTCAAAGGTTCGAGCCCTCGCTCTGTGTCCCGGCTGTTGCAAGGATCTCGCTTGTGTTGTGAAAAGTTTTAAGATGCTACGGTGTTGCGGGGTGTGCGCTTCCAGGTACTAAGTGTGAACAGAGGAACGATTTCGTTCCAAAGGCTGATCAGGGTATGAGCGTATGCATAGGCTAGTCGTCCAGGAACTCAGTTTACAGGCGAAGAGCGCTTGTACTTGCAGTTTGCAGCTCACAGTGAGTATGCTGGATTCGTGCAGCTTCTCTCTCCTGCTTTCCCGGAGCTTGTGTTGCGTGTTTGAGTTACGTGATTAGATCTAACAATATTTTGAACACTTGCATACTTCATTTGGCACTGTTTTCGTTGTACCAAACCCTCCATTTATAACTCAGAATATTTGGTGGGAGCGCCTGTGTTATGGGAATTGTGCTTCTGGCCGGTGTCAGTAGTTTCTTGTATCACGTTAGTGTTGCTGCATTCCCTACGCTTGTAATCTATACCCTGGGAATGCCTCTAGAATCCATTCCTGATGAGGAGAGTTACTGTTCGCTCCTAATTATCCGATATACTTGAGCCATACAGTTTTCTTTCTAAACGATGAAACAGCAATTTCAGTGTCATTCTAGAGCGTGCTGGTTCCAGCAGGAA